TAAATATGAATATGGTCTCTGTATTAGAATGACTATGTGTCTCAAGACTATAATATGTCATCTCAACACTTTTTGATCCCATTTCTCTGTTTTAGGAAAGAGTCACAAGTTCAAATAGAAATTTAGAGCTGCAGAGATTCTTATTCAGACATTCTCTAGCAAGGATCATACTGCATAGTTCACAAGGAATAACAGCATCCAGGAATCTGGTGTTTTGCAGATATTTGATCATTTGATTATAAAAGTTTTGGTTTTATCTGCTTGGTTATGAGGAAGCCTATTGGTGGCCAGACGAGGAGGCTTGACCTCCAAAAAGAAACAAGTGAACCCCAAAAGCACACTGCAGAAAGAGACAGAATGAACATTGAAATATAGACATAACATTAAAGGAGAAAGACATTAAAAACTGTGGGACACTCTGACACAGAGACTGACCATCAGCCTGTGTATCACCTGAGCGACACTTGTTGTCCCAGAGAGAAACTGGGCCAGTCAGTGTGTCCGGTCTCACTCTCTCTGTCAAGATACTGTTTCTGACTGTGAACAACCCTGTTACAGCCCAAACTGATCTGTCTAAAATTAAGAAATGTTATACTGTATATATCTGAGACATGTTAAAACAAAATCGTCTGTCTCGGATGGATCGCCTAGCTTTGAACTTTTGTGCCGTTTTGGGATTTCCCATTTGTTTCATCCCTGGATCGTTTGCCTCGGCCAAACCTCCCCCGACCACCAGCACTCCATGGACACGCCCCCCTGTCTTCATCCCCGTATCCTGCATGACTTTTTCCCCCATGTTTTCCCCACTCTACCCCGGATCATGTCGTCTGCATAGGGTCCGGAAAGAGCTGTTCGTTACATCCAGGCTTGCACCCTTTGTAAGTAACACAAGTAATGTGGCATCGTATTGCATTCTGTATATATGTGGTTCTTATGATTTTCCTTTCTCTTCTTGTATCTTTCTTTTTTTTTGGTATCTCTGTTATTTCAAGCACACCACAAAACAAAAGGTTCAGTTTGGCATTAAGTTTACTTTGACTTTGTGCCCCATTACTGGTTAATGTGGTTAGGAAATGGATGGGTGGACTTTTCTGTGCCACCAGAAAACATACTTCTCATGAGCATGATGAATACCAGAGATATCAGATGAGATCAGTATCTTGTTTTCCAGCCTCATTATCAAAATGATTGAAATGAGAAATAATATAATTATATTTCTTTGAATACTGTGACTATGTTGAATGATCTCTTATAGTAGTATAATAAACTTGATCTGTAAGTGCACCTGCAGTAGGTCCCAGCTGCAGCAGTGCAGTCACTGTGCAGTCCTGCTGAGGGAGGTTTTTGTATGGCTGTGTAACACTGTGTGAACACACGAGTACTGCCAGGGTAGTGGAAACTCTGACAGTAATAATCTGCTGCATCTTCAGCCTGGACTCCTTTGATAGTCAGAGTGAAGTCAGTCCCAGATCCACTGCCACTGAAACGCTCTGGGATCCCAGTATCACGGTTAGTTGCTGCATAGATCAGGAGTTTAGGAGCTTCACCAGCTTTCTGTTGGTACCAGGCTAGGTATTCATTACCAAACACTGCAGGACTAGTCTTACAGCTCACAGTGACTGTCTGTCCAGAGAGAACAGATTTCACTGCTGGAGTCTGAGTCACAGTAACCTGTCCACTAGATTCTGAAAACAAGAAAAAACATGGTGAGTGCAGGAATTTAATAACTAGAATGCTTTAATTTCTTTAAGCTATTTTACACTTATCTGTAAATCTTTTGTACATAATATTGTAAAAGCTATATACTCCATCACAAATTAAAAATATATACAGTATATATGTTAGCATCAACACCTAGCCAAGTATTAAATTATACCCTGAGCAGAGATGACGAGTGCCCAGATGAAGAAGCACAGGCTTAGTGTTTTGTGTTGTGACAGAGCAAGATGAGCAGTTTAGCATGAACACCCCCAGGACAGCAGGACTAGACAGAGAGCAGCTTTATACAGTAAGGAGCAGGGGATGAGAAGTTAACTTCTTCTTAATGTTCAGTACATGCACTTCATTTTATATAAACATAACAATAGACAGGTGTTAAGATTTCATAATCATTAAAACATGTTTATGGTCTTTTCTAAATCACAAACGGAGCAATACTTCAATGGATTGTACCCATAAGATAACAATACATCTGTAGTTTTTCAAATGTTTTTCTATTATTACATAGGCTGATATTCCAGACTTATTACAAATTGATTGCTAAGCCTTTACTAAACTGATGTTGCTGCTAAATGACCAAATGGGACCTCGCAATATAAAAGTCACAGTTTTATCAGGGCCCAAAGGCAGTTTTTATTTGTTGAACAACTTCCCTGTTCATACTAACTCAACAAACATACCTAATATTTTTTGAAAATCTATTTCTATTTCTATTTCTATTTCTATTTCTATATTCTATATTCTATATTCTATATTCTATTAATATTTATTTCCTATCTTATCGCTCAGTTACCATAAATTATAACTTCACTTTTTATCTCATTTAATCCCAATATTTAAGCAAGTAGCTGTATCATCCTGCAGCTCACCACTGGCAGCCCACTGGAGCTCAGCTCGTCCTGCTGGAAGAGGTGTTAGTGGGAACAGCAGGGGGCACTCACCCTGTGGTCTGTGTGAGTCCTTATGCCTCAGTATAGCGATGGGGATACTATAATGTAAAGAGGTGTTGTCCTTTGGATGAAATGTAAAATCAAGGTCCTGATTCTCTGTGGTCATTAAAAATCCCAGGGCATTTCTTGAAAAGAGTAGGGGTGTAACCCTGGTGTCCTGGCCAAATTTCCCCCTGGCCTTTACCCATCATGGCCTCCTAATAACCCCCATCTCTGAACTGGCTCCATCACTCTGCTCTCCTCCCCACTGAGAGCTGGGGTGTGGGGAGCAGACTGGTGCATCATCCAGGTGGGGCTGCACACTGCTGGGGGTGGAGGGGGATCCCCATGCCTTGGAAAGAGCTCTGAGTGGAGTGTCCAGAAAAGTGTTGTATACTGTAAGCGTAAGGGATTATTATTATTATAACAATAATTCTAATAACAAGCAAGTACAAACAACTGAAAAGAGAAGAAAGGGATCACAACATTTCGGCTGTAGAGCCTTCTTTGGGTGTGAGGAGCTATAAGATTCAGATTATTATTAGAATACTACCAATAATAATCTGAATCTTAATTCTGAAATTCTTCATTACTATTTAGGCTTTAAACATTCCCAGAGCACTGAAACACTGAAAACTCAGGCTTGGAGCTGTATGTTGTGAGTTTGAACTGGGAATGCTGAGTTTGGCATGAATGCCATGAACTTTACAGGTATTAGTCATGCAAAAGCAACTGTTAGTAACATACTTCCAATTATTAAAACCAAAGCTTTAATTTCTTTAAGCTATTTTACACCTATCTGTAAATCTTTTGTACATAATATTGTAAAAGATATAAACTACATCACAAATTAAAAATATACTATATACAGTATATATGTTAACATCAACACCTAGCCAAGTATTAAATTATACCCTGAGCAGAGATGATGAGTGCCCAGATGAAGATGGTGATGAAGGTCATTGTTGCTGTAGGTTCTGTTGCCATGAAGGGCAGCTCTCAGTCATGAAGTGTTAACCTCACAGGGCTATAAACACTCCCAGATCACTGAAGCATGTGCTGTCAATGCAAAGTGTCTCATTTATGCAAATTGTCTTCCTGGGTTCAGCAGCACTTGTGGCCAGTCAGTGCTGGAAACACAGGCTTGGTGCTGTGTGTTGTGACAGAGGAAGATGAGCAGTTTAGCACTAAACAGCAGCACTAGACAGAGAGCAGATTTATATGGAACAGAGGATGAGACACAACCAGCTGAGCCCTTATTCCACTCAACACAGCTGGAATGGAGTGGAGTGTGGAGAGTCTGGTTAAAGCAGCACTTGGCTCTGTGTGTTCAGACACAGCGGGGCTGAAGGATTAAAGCTCAAAATGAAAGTTGCCATTATAAGACATCAGTTAACTTCTTCTTAATGTTGAGTGACACAGGTGATTAAGTCCCTCAATCCCAGCATTTTGTGTGTGGGGCTGGAGAGCGAAACATTAAACAGGACATCTCTGATTTTAGGGAGAGACTCTGGGGGAGTGAGCCCTCTAGTGGAACCAAAGTGATAGTGTGTTCTATGAAAATAAATTTACTGAAATCTCCTCCGTATAGATTGAATATTCAACATGTTTTGGCCACAATATTTCAGCAGGAGCATGTCTCCATTAAAAGTCCCAGCCAGATAGTTGTCCAGTTTTGATGTCTTAAGTCTTTTTAAAATCTTGTCTTGGCAGATATTATACAGCAGAGATATCAGACAGAAATATGGAAAATGCCGTTCTTCAGCAGCTTTCAAACAGCCTGGCTAAAATCAATCAAAGGCAATTACCTGGAAAATATAAGGTATGGTACTGCCAATTTACACTGTACCCGAGGGTCATGTGGCCACTGAAGATGTGTGAGATCACCTGAACCTAGTGAAAAAGAAGAACGAAAAGGCTCACACTTACATCTAAGTCTCCCACAATGTCTTTCAGAGACAGGACTCTTAGGGAGGAACATTCTCCAGCTTTCTATAAAATCTTTAAGCCTAGGCCAGAACCAGGAGAAAAGCTTGTTAATCATAGAATGAAGAGAGTCTAGCGCCCAGATAACAGAGATGTCAACGCACAGGTGCATACTGGGAGAAGTTGGATGGCACAAGATGCGGAAGGCAGTGAATAGGCTGCAACACCAGGAGGTGGTTGGCTCAGTCCAAACAGGTTGAGCAGGAGTCAGATGGGGGCAGCCACTTCGCCTATGGTCCTAAGCCAACAAGAAGGAGCAGAAGGAGATGGCGGTCATGGAAGCGACAAAGATAGAAGAGGAGAGATGGAGGGTGAAAGTAACGTCACACGGACAACAGGGGAGCTGGACTAAGTGGGAGACTGTGGTGAACAAGAAAATCAGCTGGAGGGACATGTGGAAAGTCCCACAAGCACGCCTCATCTTCCTGATCAGGGCAGCCTATTACATTTGGCCTTGCTCCAAGAACCTCCATTGATGGTACGGGATAGAGGAGGCCTGCCATCTTTGCAGTACCCTCAATAATGTAACAAGAGGTGTGAAGAACCCTATGCAGGTCGGGTAGCGAACAAGTCCAGTAGGGCAAGGCGAAGTCGGGGTCGGGTAGCCAGGCAGTGTCGTTATCCAGGGAGGCATTGAGAGGTTGCAAACAAATCCGAAGGGCGTGATGAAAACAGAGTCGGGACGGCAATCAGTATCGTATCCACGAGACTTGAAGAAAGGGATCACAAAGGTTTCGAAGGGGAAGAGCTCAGGAAAACAGTAAACTGTTTAATACCAAGTGCTGAAGTGAAGGTTGATGAGGTTTAAATAGCAGGTGTGGTGAAAAGCGAGAGACGTGATAGGATGACTAGATTGTGCGTTGTTGTTTTTTGGGAATTGGATCGGGCTGGTGTCTGATTGACAGGGTTCGTGGGAATGCGCCAGCGTTTGTCCGCATTACGTGAGAGCGCAACAAATACAAGCCTCTAGCATATTCTGATGGGCTACAAGATGGCTTTCTCGCTGGGCCGATACAGGTGGCGATACGCCCAGGTCCTCGGGAATCTGGCAGAGGTGCTGGAGACCAAGCAGCAGGAGGCAAAGGGAAATAGTCCTCCAGCAGCAGCACAGCAGGTTGAGCTCGTCAGGCGAGGTCAGGAAGTGGGACAGTGCAGGAGGAGGGTGACATCAAAGATCCTCACACCAGGAGTGGAGTGGAAGATGGAGGTGGATCTTGGCAGCAGCTCCAGTTCCCTAGGGGAATCTGTAGCACGGCGCTGATATAATGGTGTCTGCAGAAGAGACCAAGACTTATGATTTTTCTTTCTCTTCTTGTATCTATCTTTTTGTATCTCTGTTATTTCAAGCGCACCACCAAAAATTCATATCAACCCAAAGGGA